CGATCCGGGATTCGAACCCGGCGCCGCGCGAGTGGTAAGCGCACCACTTGTCACTACACCTCCTCCGCCCAACAGCGACCATAAAAAGCAATTTATCATAAAAAACCTCTCCAAAAACTGATTTCTAGTCAGACCACTCCGTGACATGGGGGTGGGAAATTCTTAAGCGAATTTCAAGATTATTCCGAGAAAGTGAGGACCCTGTAACTTGTGACTAGCAAGCGTAGTAACTGAAGGCGGGCTGATTCGCATGAGCTATTTTTGGTGAGCGCAGCCGGTTTCGACCCAAGATGGCTGGCCTGAAGAGGTTTGTCTCGCTAAAATAGTTCAAAAGCAGACCGAACTTTCGTGCCAGTGATCGGTCAACTGCGCTGACGGACATATGGTTAGTGCACTTATACTTCTTATCCCTGGGACGGAGTAGGCGTGGCTTTTGAGCACGGCATAGAACAGGTTTCGCGTGAGATGCTTCAATTTGAAACAACTGCCATCTTATTCTGTTAAATGTAGACATGATTACGACTGCTCCAAAATGACAATATCTCACGAAAACCTGGGCCGCCGCCATTTTAAAATCAAGTACGCAGCCACGCCTACCCGATCTCAGGGATTTCGAGTATACTTGAAATAGGAACAACAACATTTATTGAGAACACAACGCCTCTCAAAATACTTGGTTTCAACCTCTCTTACATATGAATGCCCTCATTTCCGTGTCACATGGAATGTCGTTCCAAGTCTTCGGACCTCCATATGATGAATAGAACGACTCTAGTCCATTGTTTACATCTTGAAACGCTATTGATTTTGCCATTGCGATGGGGGTTTTATATTGACTGTGCTACGACGATTGGCGTAATGAAAATGAAGCAAGATATTGAGCCCCTCCCTCGTTAGATTTCTGCGCATGGTCTTTCACGAGTGGTATTTTTATGTAGTTTTTATGTGCACACCTCGAGTGTATGGAAATAAATAAATAAATATTGTGCTGCACATTTGGCAATTTGTGGATTGATTTGCGCCGGATCGAAACCGTCTGATTCCTTGGACCGATCAACCAGAGTACAGCATGGTTGTGCGAAATACATGGAAGGGAGATCGTAATACCGCATAAGGGGTAGTATGTACTCTGTCATGAACCAGTAGACCATAAGTAACTCCCCAAAGGAGAAGGAAACAAAAAACTTTGGGAACACCCAGAGACCCCCAGTGGGCGCCCTGAATGAGTTTGTCGCACATCGGCAAGCTCTCAGCAGGATTTGAGGTGCAACCGATTCCCGGCAGGAGCACAGGAAATCACTCTATGACGCTCCGGGCGACGCTATGAATGAAAGTACATGGTTGTAACGCTTGTGATGACTACGCGTCCCTACCTTGTCTATTCGCCGTTTCAAGTTATACGCAGGGGGGGGGGGGCAAAAAAAGTCACTTCGACCGAGTCACATATCAGCAAAGTTTTCGCAGCCCAGACAGAGGACGTGGATACGAGAAGATACCCAAGATGTTCCTCGATAAGCAGGAGGCTCTCGCCCATCACCTTCATGTACACCAAAATATGAAGTCATCTCCAGTCGCAGCCTGACTGGAGAAGACCTTTGGAATTCATGTCACCTCCAAACAGCTGCGAAACTTCTAGTATGGAGTCACCCATGGATAGCTACCTGGAGACCAGTACTCTCGATCTGGAAGACCTCCAACATCGAGCAGCTCCGACAACGTCGCTACGGTCTAGGACATCATCTTCACCGCAGTCGCCAAGGCGCGGGTTGATGGTATGGACCGGACGTACCTGGAATGGAAAGACCGATATTTTCTTCGTGGACCCCGGACTGAAGGTGAGCGCTGGCGGTTACATCGAGCAACTCGAGAAGAATATCCTCCTCACATGTCGTCGCCCGTACCTTCTTGGAAACTTTGTACTGCTACAGGTGCCACCACATGGAATCGAAGGGCGTTGGAAAAACTCTCGCCTACTTGGAATGGAAGGGCGTTGAGTACCTGAAGAAGATGGAATATCTAAGTGTGTCACCTGACCTAAACCCCCTCAATTACCCGGTTCGGGCGGAGCTCAACAGGTCTACAGTGGCGGAGAAATCAACTATCTCGCTGAACTCAGGTACCCACTCACGGTCGCGTGGCAGAATCTCTCGATGGCGCTCCTCCAGAAGGCTGTGGCGGAGTATCATGATAGTATTTAATATGCTGTCGAATATGGTGGTAGAAATGTCCGGTCTTATAGCGCCTCGAGGGTCAAGCAAGAAAAGTGACTTTTTCTGCCCCTCCCTCCTGTATTCTCTGCGAATACCAAATGCGCGAAGGCATTTCGCGGACCAGTTGATTTGCGGGAATCTGTACTGTCTTAAAGTGAGTTGACGATCATCAAACAGCGCAGGTGTCATCGCGGTGCTGTAGAGAATTCAAGTGTGTGGAACAAACGTACATAACGTAATAATACAGCATTAACAGGTTCGCTGATATCGACCTATCTGGACCTTCTAAAACGTCTCGTTGAAAGGAAACTTACTTACACCGGGAGTTCACACCTTTCCACCACCTCTGTGTGGGAGAGTAATGCACAGCGCACACTCAGGCGGGATCGACCGATGACAACTAAACTATGCCTTCACTTAGTTCAGCGAGAATATGTGGTCTGAAAGCAGACCTCATAATCTCGCCCAAAAGCAAACCAGTCCCAAATATCTGCTGAGCTAGTTGGTCTCAGGATGGTCGCTTCTTGCAAAGATGTTTTTGATTTTGCGAAAGCTGCGACTGAAAGAAGTCACTGTCGTCCGAAACTAAAAAACTCGCGCACGGCTCGCCCCTAACCCATCAAAAACCATTTCCAATCATTTTCCGTATCTGGAGACATCCAGGTTTCAGCTGGTAAGAAAACGCAACTGTAGGGCCACCGCTTTATCATGGCGCTTTTTATCTCCCTAAGGTTCCGAGCCTGAAAAAGGTATGGCCACCAAAACAAGCACTGAAGTTTCTGTCTTTCAACAAATCTTCTCCCACGCTATTTTCCGCCGAGATCGCAACGACCTTTGTTTGCGAGGACCTTTGCTTGTAGAAGGTGGGGGGAGGGTCGTACTGACATCGCCATTTCACAAATCACGATGCTGTACCTTGCCCGCAATGAAGTGTTAAAGACAGCTCCCGCGATAAAAGTGTCAAGGATAATTGCTGATTATGAAACAGTAGCTGATAAGTAATTCCTCAATGAAGGAAAAAAGCAACAAGAGCCCTCAAGAACACCACAAACAAAATTGCTCCCTTACAGTTACACCGCCCTGCGGTCCCTGGGCAACCCCCCGTCAGAGGGCAGCTAGCAAGTAGGGCGGTCCAACTGAGCGGGCGTTAGAACTAGAACTTTGAGCGGCTGTAGCTCGCTCCTCGCTCACTGTGGAGTCGCGACAGTGGAATAGTATCTAGCTTGGAGGCTGAACTACCTGCGCAAGGAAGGACGATCATGTACTACGTTACTTGCAGTGTAGGATGGTAGTGTGGATAGAT